CCCCCCCCCCCACTGGGAGGCAAAGCTGGGAGGTTCGACGAGTGGATGGCAGAGCTGAGGTCCGGGGTAGAAGGCAGTTTGAACGGCTAACCCGGGAGGCTGGGCGGACGCTCCCCTAGAAAGGAACCCCGTCCTCGTCGGGAACGCCTGCCCACGCGCCTCGGTACTTCTGGCACGTCCGAGTCAGAAGAGGGAACGACGTCTGGGTGGCGTTTTGGAATGAACCGAACGGAATTCGCTCGGGGCTGCGTTTCTCACGATAGGGCTTTCTTCAACATTAAAAGAGCCCACTGGGTCGTCCGTGGCCTCAGGAGCGCGACCAAACATTTCCTGAAGCGCTCCCACATCTCAAGCATCAAAGCGGTTTTCAAAAGTCCCCGGTCGGCTACTGGTTCAAAACCAGGGCTTCCTTCTCCAGGCCGCCCCGCTGCCTGGGCCAAGCAGGCAGGGGGCCCGCGTGTGCAGGGGCGTGCCTGCCGACTCCGGAAAACGCCACCGGGCTGACTCCCGAAACGACACCCAGACAGAGCCGGTGCGCTCTCTGGACAAATCCTGGCGCCCCTGCTCCAGGCGGCCCCCCTCTCTCTCGCTGAAGGCCTCGTCTCACAAATCCTCAGGTGAGAAAAAGGAAAGTACAAGACGAAAGGAAACAGATTTATCTAAAGCAAACGGAACTCTTCAAAGGCTGCCAACTGCTGTCCACCAATTAATTAAAATAATGGCTACGCCGTTCCTGAAGGAAGTACTTTCACTTTCTGAGACCAGAATCAGAGCAGAGCGTGACGCGCGCGCTCTGCTCCGGAAAGGACACTGCACGTCCGACAGCTCGCTCTGATTTGCTGGCCTGGGTGAATTACATACCCAGCAAGTACTGAGGGGGCAACTGCCTGACCCGCCCCGCGCCCAGGGCCACGTGGCACCAGCAATCACGCACCGTCGAAAATGCTGTTACTTGCAGAGTCCGTGAAAATCGGAGAGATGCTCCTTTAGTCTCGGACACTAAATTAAAACGAAAACCGTCGTTCCTTACTTTCCACTTCAAAGCGTGTCTGGGTAACAACACATGCTGCGGGCAGCAGGCTGAAGGCACAGGGAGACCAGCGGGCTCGGCATGCAACCCAGGTGTGTCCGGGTGTGCGTGAGCCAGCCGTGTGCCCACAGGGCGTGTTCCAGGACGGCGGCCTGCACGTCACTCGGCTGTGGCAGGTGCTGAAGCAGCTGCCTGTTCTCCTTTCCAAGTCCGTCACGGCACAAGGACAATACATACGACACACGTATGACAAGGCTCTAAGTAATGGAGACTGTAAACCACTCGTTAGCACTTGGACTTGAACTGGATTACTAAGGGACGATTATTCCCCAAAGTCACGACCACCTGAGGCCTAAGAGGGAAAGGTACACTGCTTCAGAGACACCCTCCATTGGCAAGGGATGGGTCCCCGTGGCCCTCAGGCTGCTGAACGTGCACAGGGCACCCAGCAGGCAGGCCAGGAGGGGCGCCACGTCCCTCCTGCCCTCACGCTCCGCAGTCGGCGCCCCCCGCTCACCCGGGCAGGAGGCTGGCCACACACCCGTGCGGGGCGCTCTTGAAGGCCGAGCTCCCGGCCTGTATTTCCGGCCACTGGGCTTCAAGCCAGGCAAGTGCGGGAGGAGCGCCAGCCACAGGAAGGCCCCTCGCCGCGGCAAAGTGAGCAGGGAGGGACCCGGTCGCGGGCCGCCAGCAGGACAGACAGCAGGTGCCCTAGGAAGCGCAACCTGCAGGGAGCGCCCTGGGGAAAAGAGAAGGTGGGCTCGGCTGCCCAGAAGCAGGCGCCCAGGGGGGTCTCTAGGATCGACCCAGATGGCGGGTTTGTTGCGTTTTTGTTTGTTTTTTTTTTCTTGTGCTCTGTGCTGCCCACTAATTCCCAGGTACAAAACCAACGGTGAGAAGCGCAGGAAGGACGGGGACAGGACAGGTGGCCTCCGCCTTGGGAAACCATGGCAGTAGCAAACTCGGGTTCTCTCCCATATAGTCTTCTCGGATTCAATCTGTCCAGAAGGAGGCTGCAGTCATACCCTGGGTTTGGTGTATTTTGTTCTGTTTTGCGGTATGGACGTCTCTGAAAACTTGCAATCAGATATGCTTAACTATATTAAAAGCACACTAAGTAAGTCCATCATTACAAGAATTTCATAGTCAATTCTGACACACAACTTTTACAACATGAACGGACTTTAACTAGAGAAACATATTTTGGAAAACAGTCAAATACGTGAGGTATAGAAAACTCCGCTCCCTCTGGAATCGCCCCCCCAAGGCAGACACAGGTAAGTGTGGGTTCTCCAAGCCTGTCTCCATGTGCATAAACCCACATACCTTCATCCACAAAGTTCGGTTTTTCAAATTAAAAATGTATCATTGCACTGCTGAGAGGAATTCTCAAAGACCTCACTAAATGGAGAGACATGCCACATGCCCGGATGAGAACGCTCAAGACTGTCAAAGTCCTCATCCACACAATCCCTATCAAAATGCCAGCTGGCTTCCCTGCGGAAATTGAGAAGCCAATCTTAAAATTCAGATGGAATTGCAAGGGACCCGGGAACAGGCAAAACAATCTTGAAAAAGAAGAACAAAATCAGAGGACTTGCACTTTCCAATCCCCAAACTTACCGGGAAGCTACAAGAACAGAGACTGCGCGGTAGCGGTCCAAGGATGGGCCCAGCTCGAGGGAACAGAACTCAGAGCCGAAACATCCACCCCTACATTTATGGTCATGTTTGACCTAGGCGCCGCGGCAATTCAATGCAGAAAGGGTTTCCTTTTCAACAAACGGCATCAAGGCAATCGGAGAGCCGAACGCAAATGAATGACTTTGGACTCCTACCTGACGCCATATCCAAAATCAGCCTAAGATGTGTAATAAGAGATGAAGAAGGGCGTCATATAATAATTACAGTGTCTACCCATCAGGAAGAGCTAACAATTATAAATGTCTATGTGCCGAATACGGGAGCCCCCAAATATATAAAACAATTACTCACAAACATAAGCAACCTTATTGATAAGAATGTGGTAATTGCAGGGGACTTTAACACTCCACTTACAGAAACGGATAGATCATCTAGACACACGGTCAATACAGAAACAAGCGCCCTGAATGATACATTGGATCAGATGGACTTGACAGATATATTTAGAACTCTGCATCCCAAAGCAACAGAATATACTTTCTTCTCGAGTGCACATGGAACATTCTCCAAGACAGATCACATACTGGGTCA